TTTGAGTGCAAGAAGATGAAATTCTTTTCTCAAATTGAAATTATGTGCTCTTGCATTATGGCAGGATAATTCTCCCATAGTTATATCTGATATAATATATCTGAAGAAATTGATTTTATAAAAAAAATTTTTTTCAAATAAAGCATTTTAAATGCCACTATAATCACATTTAACAAATTTTAATGCCAATTAAGGCCTTCATTTAAAAAATAATAATTTTATGGCGTTTTGTGGTTTTTTAAGATCTGCGGAAACCCTGTGAAAATGGCCGAGGGTCGCAAGAGAAAAAGTGTCTATGAAGAGAAGAAAAAAAAGGCTTCAGAAGAGGCAGATATATCCCATGGTGCTTTGCATGGAGAGCTCTCCTCGCAAAGCACCATGGGATTTGCTGTCGCAACAAACAGCGGCGACTGATAACAAAGATGGCACAGGCACCGAGCGGCGGACCAACGGTAAAGTGATCATCTGTTAACTGAGTTCACTTTAAAGTCCACCATATAGCCTCCGCTGTATCTAGTGATGGAGGGATTTAGGGCGGAGTTCAGGCTAAGTTAGCTTGTATGAGCTATGAGAACAGCTACTTTAAACAGAGCGTGCACGAGGAGAAATGGGCTCCCTCACGCTCTCGCACGCCCATTTTTTATTAAAGTGGAGAGGGCGCATCTTTTAAAAAATTCAAGATCCTCCACAATACCTTTAAGCTTCTACGTCTGATCTCCGTCCGAATCATTTAAGTAAATTACATTTCTAAATAAATGTTTGAAACTAAGGAGTTTCAAACGTATATTGCATATTTTAAATCAATTGCAAAAACATAAAGAATGCACACACACACACACACACACACACATATTTGTTCTGCTATATGTAGTGAGGACCATGCATTGTCTTCCATTGGTTTTCAGTCATTTTCAACCCTTTCTATGCCCTAACACTAAACCTAACCATTACCAATGCATACCTCACCCTAACCCTAACCAACTGACACCTTAGCCCTTAACCTAACCATTAGCAAATAGCATGTAAGGACCATCACAATGTCCTCACTCTGAGGGCTAGACAGGTACACACATTATTTCCCGCTGAACAGGAAATAAAAAACATTTCTATTCTACCATCTATGTGAGAATAACCACCAACACATTCAATCATGTATGAATGTTACTAGGATGAAATAACTTAATCAGAGGGATGGATTGGTGACGTTAGATAAATTTAATGATCTATTTTAGTCAAATTAGGATGTTTTTGCTTGTAGAGCAGGAATATTTTGATCATAAATATAATATAGAACACAGATTCCCAAACATTTCAGCCTGAAACCCCAAAAATAACGACGTTACAATGCTTCTCTCTATGTTCCCTGATAAATATAAAGTTAAGTAACTATTTTAATGCTGGAATTACTTGTTTAAATATCATTTAGAGATTGTTAAAATGGATAAAGTCCTGTTATTTGATAATAATAATAATATATTCTTTTAAACTAATGTTTCAATATTTAACAGTGCATTTAAAAATGTAATGGTTTAATTATTAATAAAAAAAATATATAAATAATAAATTGATATTTGAATAATTTGATATTGAATGAATAAATTGATTAATTAATAAATAAATCAATATTAAATCAGTTTATCTGTTTTATAAAACATTTATATAATGTTTTTTTAAACCATTTTGGGCCTAAATATAACTGAGGGATTTCATCACAATCATTGTGAAAACTCTTCACTAGGTCTCATGTGACCCCTGGGGGGCCCTGACCCCCACTCTGGGAGGCTGGAGGCGGTAAATATGACAGATCTCTGAGGGCGGGGCTCCGTCTGCGCGTCACCTCGCTGCATAAAGTAACGACCCTTTCTGTTCAAATTAGTCTGATTTCAATCAATAAGTAAAATGATTTTCAAACAGAAAAACATTTTACATTTAGAATAAGAAAAAAAAGTCCAAAAAAACAAACTTATGATCTTATTATGAAGTTTTGATATTTTCCTGTTTTTTTTATTTTTTTTTAGGGGCCAAAATGGAAGAAGCAGCTGATCTGTTCTCACCCATGAAAGCCGCCCAGTGCAGCGCGCGGCCGTCCTTCTTGTCGAAGGCGTTGATGTTGGCTCCTTTATCGAGCAGAAGGTTCACCATCTGAAAGCAGAGATTAGTTAGTCTGAGCTGGGGGGGGGGGTCCAGCTGCCCCTCAGGGCTAATTTAGGATCAGGCACATTTCTGAAGGGTTCTGTCAGAAATGAACAGCCCACTCAATAAATAACCGCCATGATTCAGCTGCAGTCGCCGCCCGCCTGTTTCCTCCAGTCAGTCAACAGTTAGGGCACAGTGGGGGGGGGGGGTTTAGTGTACCTCAGTGTGGCCGTTGAGGGCAGCGTGGTGCAGCGCGGTCCGCCCGCCGCGGTCCGACACGTTCACGCTGCTCAGCAGAGGGATGATGACCTCGGCGCATCGCAGGGCGTTGTTGGCGGCGGCGACGTGCAGCGGCGTCTGCCAGTTCTTGTCCCGCGCGTTGACGTCCGCAGAGTGGCGGATCAGAACCCGCACAGCGTCCTGGAGGAGGGAAACGACAGACATTAAGCTAAAAAGTAAGAATTTATGATAAAACAGATATAAACGCATCATTTTTATATGGATAATTAATATTGGAACATTAACATCATGGATAGTTACTTTTTTTATTTACTAAAACAATCTTTTGGGTCATTGGCTGATTCTGGAACCACTTTTTGGGTAAAAAGCTGAGCAGTTTGGATAAACGCTCATCCCTTCATATAAAAAAGCAGATTTACTAAATAGTAAAATTAAAAAGGAGAGAAATCCTATAGCAGCTTTTTTTTCTACCTACTATCAGTAATCACACTTTTCAGGAGAGAGACGATGTTCTGTCAGATGAGCATACCCATAATCAATACCCGTTTATCCCTTTAGTTTTATACGAATAAGAGACTTTAAATTAGGGATGCAGGATATTGGGATTTTGGCCGATATCCGATATGCCGATATT